TTCCCCCGGGTTTTCTCCCCTTTTTGTCCCCCCCCCACCTTACCCCAGCCCCTTTTCACTTTCCCCCCCCCCCCTGTTTTGGTACGTCCTTTAGCCCCCAAAATCTTTATCCCCCTCCCCTTCTATCCCCAATTGGTCTCCCATCTCTTTGAATTCAGAACATTTGAAGCCTTTTCAGAAATTTATTGCAGGACTAAACCTTAATGGACCTGATTCATTTCCCTGTTCCCTTTCTTCCCTTCCCCCTTCTTAAAACCCCCATTCTTCGCAACGCTCGCCCTTTTCGCTTTGAACGTCTTCCCAAATGCCACCCCGTTGACTTTTCTAACCCCTCTAGTGTAGGTGTTTCCCTACAATTCCGGGTTTTTTTCTTCATGCCAATCAGGGCCCCCTATTTAAGGGGAAATTTCGCGGCTCGGGGGTAATGGGGGTGAGTTTCAGATGTTGTTTTCCAGGTTTTCCTTGTTGGTGCTTGTTACAAAAACCAAATTACCTGGCTGTCTTAAAACTATCTCGGGCTATAATTTATTGTATTTGGGATCCTTTCTCAGGGGGCCCTTTTAAATGAAATCCCCTTTTTGCAATGATATTCCGTACTGTCAACATTGTCCATCCCTGTGCATTACACGCACCCCGTTCCACTTCAAAAAGTGGTTTACAATATGTTCTTTTATCTCCTCCTTCTCGAGATTTTTATCCCAGATTTTGTTTTTCCGTTTCTCCTTCCACCAAACTTCTCTTATTTGGTGATTTTAATGCCCACCTTTTCCCTCGGGGGGGGGGGGTTCATTGGACTCACGGGCATCCAGTTGGGGGCTTTTCTCCCCCCCTTCACCCCCTCCTTTTTTTTAAAAATACAGGTCTCCCCCCCATTTTGATCCTGTACTCATACTCTCTCTTGCACGATCTATCGTCTGCTTTTCCTCCCTGCACAACTTACCTGGTTTTCTACCGGACTTCATGACAGCAATCATTTCCGATCATTTTATTCTCCTTCCTATTCACCCCCTTTTCCATCCCCTCGGGAAATTTGATGGGCAAATGGATCTTTTACTCACACCTCATGCTTTGTGAGGTTCCTTTTTTCATCCTCCATTGGAGCCCCTAACATCCTAAAATCAGTTTTACCGAAGCTTCCATTTTTTTCCCCCAAACCCTAGGGGGCATTTCAGAAGTGGTCCCTTGGTGGTTCCTTGTGCCGTGAGTACGTTTGAAAGTGCTGCATGGGGCAGGTACCGGTACAATAAAACCCGCTGAGGTTTTGTTGATTTTAAGCAGAACGTGCGATCGTCACCGTGTCATCCCTGAAGCTAAATGCATTGTTTGGGGAGATAGTTTCACCCCCACCCGCTTCTTCTATGAGTGCAGTTTTTGGGGGGGTTGATGGTAAAAACTCTCCTGACCCCGGGTCCTGTTCCCGGCCTGGTGGATGTAGCAAACCCCTCGACGTTGATTGAACTTGGCAACATTTGGGCCGTATTTCCCCAGGGCTCCCCTATGCCCCCGTTTCTTTCCCCAAAGTTTCCAGAGAGTTGTACCTTGGATTTCTTCTTCAAGGAAGAACAGTATAAAGTGCCTTTTTTCACTTCAAAACTGGAGGCAACGCTTTTAGTTGCCGATCATCGGCAGCTGGGGCCGACGACATTCATTTTTGTAGTTTCAACATTTACATCAGCCTTGTAGTCCTCTTACACCCCTTTTTAATCTTATTTGGGCACAAGGGGTTTTCCCCCGCGTGGGAAAAACGCCCTTGTTCTCCCTTTCCGCAAACGGGTACTAAAGGACATGATGCCTCCCACTATCGTCCCATCGCTCTTCTGTGCATTTGCAAAATGAGGGGAACGTCTGTAAACGGTTTAATGTGGGATTTTTAGACACACAACAGTTTCCGCTAGTCAATAGGCTTTCGAAAGGGGGTTTACCCCAGCCCTTACTACGTTGGTACGTATTTCGTAGTGCCTTTTTCGAATAACACTCAGTTATTGCCATATTTTTTGACCTTGAGAAGGTATGCACAACTTAGAGGTTTTAAAATTTTGGCCCAGGCCATTCCTTAGGGGTCCAAGCAATCTTCCTCCCTTCCCTTTAAAAATTTTAACTGACGCATTTCCGGTTTTTAGTCAATAATGTTTTTCCCGGCTTCTCAACTGAAGGGGTCCCTTAGGGGATGTGTTCTAAGCACAACACTTTTTTTCCCTTTCTATAAAAGATTTGGCCCCTGTTCTTCCCCCAATATTTGGTCATCATTAGTGTGACTTCGTATTGCTTGTGCGGGGGCCGACTGTCATTTAAATGCATTTTTTCTCACATTTCGGTGACCGGTTTTCCCCTTGGGGACCTGAGGGTTTTTTAAATTTTTAAGTACCAAAATCACCCAAAATTCTTTCACTAGACGCTCTGTTTTCTTTTCCCACACCTTTGTATCTTATGGCTCCCCTATCCCGAAAGGATACGTCAGGTTTCTAGGCCCTTTTCTTTGACCTAGGTTTTCCTGGGGACCTACATTCCTCTCTGAAGGAACTTGTACAGCCGGCTAAACCTTCTTAAAAACCCCTTGTCATCTTTTCCCGGGGAGCTGACGCGAACTCTGCTTCGCCCAGTTTGCCTCGTTTTTCGAAAAATCGATTATGGGCAGATTTATTCGCGGCCTTCCGCTACTCTTCTAGCCTTAACTCTTCCACACCAAGGAACGTTTTTTGGGCCCTTTGGGGCTTTTCGTCTTCCCTGTTGAGAGCCTCATACAGAAGCGAATGTTCCTCCTTTTTGATCGCCGTGTGCCCTTTCCCTTTGCTACTATGACACTCTCACATATACACAAACCTTCCTTTTTTAAAAATGGTCACCAATATTTGGCATTCTTTATTCGTTCATGCCCTGTTTGCTCCGTCGCTTTTTCTTCGCCTACATTTACCTTGTCTTCCCTTTAGTTACCCCCTTTATATGTTCTGTAGCATCTCACTTTCCCACCCCCCGGAAGTTCCGCTGTTGGGTCTGTTCTTTCTCCTCCCCTTTCTCGAAGCCAACTGCCCCCGGTGGCTTCCCCCTCTCTTTTTCTTGATCATTTCCATCCCATTCTATGCCCCCGTGTGTAACAAAGGCTCAAGTTTCAGATGGCTCGGGTTCGCAGCAGTGTTTCCACAGGGTGCGGGGGCATTTATTCTTCAGCTACATTTTTTTTGCTGAACTGTTGCCTTTTGCGCATTATTTGATCGTCTATGCCTGTGTCATATTTTAGTAGTCCAGGGTCCCCTTTGTGCTCTACAGTATACGAAAATTTGATACATCTCTCCCTAGTTCTCCATTCCAAATTTGCTACGCCCTTTTTCTCTACCCAAAAATAAAAAATTGTTTTTTGTTTTGGGGCCTGGTATGTCGAAATACAGGGCAATGAAAAAAGGGAGACATGCTGCGCGGTCAGCAGTACAGACCTCCCCTTTTCCCATCGGGGTGTTCCATTTGGACTATTTTGCTGCATAGCTACCCCCCTTGCACCCGTTGGAACAACGTGGAACTTGCTCGGGGAAAAAACTTTTTTATTAAACCGAGCTAGGTTATGGGCCCTCTTCTTGTCATCGTGCGAGGGTTGGAGACCACCTTTTCCCCCTTCGCATTTGGGCCCCACTCGTCTTCTCATGGGGATCTCATGGAAAGGCACCCTGTTCTCTCTGTGACATGTCAATTCCGTTCGATTGCCCCATTTTGTTAGATGCCCTCCTATCAACGAGCACGCAGAATTTTACCTCCCAAAGTCGTCTTCGTTTACTATCCTCTTTACCTTCCCCGCATGGACCCTCCTTTTAATCCGCTCCTCTTGACTTCTTAAACGACTGATTTACTCCCCAAAAATTGTGATACTTTTTTCACTCCCCTCAGCCCTTTTAGTTCAGTCTCTTGTGCCCTTTACCCTTTTACCATCCATACCCCCCCTTTATCCCTACCCATTACTATCCCTCTCCCTTTTGCCCCCTGATGCCCCCCCCTTCTGCCCTGCAGCGCTGATTGTCCTTGTGGCTTAGCGTTCTTTTTTTTATAATAATAATAATAAGATAAAGGGTTATATTAAGGGTTTTCCTCGGGTTTTGGGGAAAATCAGTTTTATGGTTTTACTTTATTGGGAATCACATTAATACACATCTGTAAAAATTTACATTTAAAAGTGGGAAAAAAGAATTTTGAAATTCATGCTTTCCCCCGGGAAGCAAAAACATGCATAAAACGGATATAATTTGTTATCTTTGTAGTTTTTGGATTTTCTAGGCCTCCAAGAATATACCCTTGCAAACAGGGAATTATGGTATATTTTTCCCATTATTATTCCATGTATTTTTACCATGAAAAATTGAGGAGTGGGCTATTAAAATTGTTTTGTTTATGTTTAAATAAGTAAAATTATGAAAAAAAAATGGGGAAAAAAACAAAAATCCAAAACTTTCATCAAAATCAAAATAAAATTTTTTATGAGGTTATTTTATAAACCCCTTAAGGTAAATTTTTTAACAGTGACAACTTATCCCTTTCAACTGGGAAATCTAATACCTTGTTCAAACAAGGGAAGTGAAACACTCCATTTTCCCCCCTTTCCCCTACGTATACCAATGTACTGCACTGTAGTTTTAACCTGTGATTTAACTCATATGTAAATCACCCAAGCACAGAGAAACTGTAACACTTTTGAGCCAAAATTTTCAAATTAGGCAAAGATTTTGGAAAAACAGTACCCGAAAAATAAAAAAACTTAAGCAATTTCCCCAAAAATGAAATTTTTACCCCCCTTTTTACAATATACTCTAAAAATAATTTTTAAACTTTAAAAATCTAATTTTTCAATTGTTTCTGACAAAATAAAAGCTTAAAAATTTTCACCAACGTGAGAAAAAATTTAAAAAAGAATCCCCTTTTTTCCGGGGGAGAAAAAAACGGGGGTTATTCAATGTTTGCCCGGTTATCTGTATCAACAGGTCAAATTTTTTTTCCAAATTGGAACCCAGCTGTAAAAAAGTTGTGTGTTTCAAGCATAAATGTAAAAGAATTATAAAATTAGATGTTTATGAAAAATACAACAATTATAGTTGAGACAGTAATCAAATACTGTATTCCAGGCCATGGTATAGCAGGGTATAAAGTAGGAAACTGAAGACAAAACCAGCCAATAACTTCTGAGAATACTAACAGACTGCTTTGTGTTTCAAACTGCCACTGAACTTTAAAAAGTATTTTGTAAAAATTGCCCTGCACCCTGACAATTATCTTCAATTACCAAACTTGAAGAATACTGTAATGAATATAAACATTAATGACCCAAACATTAAATGGTTTTTCAAATTGTTTGAGATTACCAATCAATCTTGGTTATCTCCAATTTTGTCATCAGACGTACCACATGCCATCTTGGTTAACAATAGCTTTTATGTATTTCCTGTGGGGCATCCTCAAAGTGCACCAACTGGCTTTGAGAAAATGTTGAAATAGTAAATTGTCCCTTGTTATACTTTTATGTACTGTATTTATCAACAGATAATTCTATTGTACAACCAAACCCTTTTCAAGAGCAGCTATACACAAAATGAGCTGATAAAACTGAATTCCATAAAGCAGATTAGTTATTTCACAATTTGTCAGCAATTATAGCCAGGTACTTGTAGCCCATGCTTTTCAATATATTTTCTCCTAGCATTTTCTATCAACTGTGCTTTTCTACTCTCAAAAGATGTCATTCTTTCTGAAGCTGATTTTCCAAATGATTTTGCTGCTGTACTCAATGCTACTGAGGGTTTAGATATTCCTCCTGGAGGGCTATCACATTTTGAAGTTGTCTTAGAAATATTTGAAATGTGGGATGGACTTTGAGACTGATTAATAACAGGAGTGGAGCTGCCTGTTTCCAGAAGCTGAACACTCGGGCCTGGATGAGCTTGACTTGGAGTGATGGGCCGTGATTCTGGTGTTGGTTCTGGCACATTGCCCTCCAAAAAGTTGGTGATCGTTAGGTCAACATTCTGAGTGTGAACTGCAAACATAAATATAATATTAGTTAAGGAAAATCTAGTTTCTTGCTAAAATTATAATATAAAACTTATGCAAAACACAGACTTGCTTAGTAACCTTCAGATATACTGTGCTGCCAAAGAACTTATTATACTCTAATTTTTTCCATTATAACTGGCTGGTAACAGACACATCTGCAGTTGAAAATGCTCAATGGTAGGTGAAACCTAAAAAATAAGTCTTCACTACAGTCATGGCACCGTTACCAACAGCTTGGCACTGTCTCCACCATAATAATTTGCTCTATACAGAAACTGGTATGGCTGTGAGCTCCAGTTAGCTTATACCTATCACTGTGGCCTGGCTATGATGCTTTGATGGAGGTACCACTTACCATATATATTCGTGTATAGCTTGAGATTTTATGACCAAATCTTTTGGCAAAAAGCCAGGGAGGGTCAAACTATTTGTGGATATTACTTTTGGAAGGCTGAAATTCTTAAATACAGAGTGCTTACCACATACTTGATTTCAACACATTTGGTGCAGCATCAAGGTATAGACCATAACCAGTGCAGAGCCCCATATCCACAGGGGATACATTCCAAGCCCTGCCATGGATACTGAAAACCATGGATAGTAGCAAACACTATATACAAGTCATTTTTCATTTATATACATACCTATGATGTTGAGTTTTGGAGGGTAGGGATGGAGGCTGAAAGCAATGAGGTGGTGTGATGGTGACCATGTGGGTGGCAGTGTGGGTGGTAGTGCAGATGATGGGCGACTGAGTGGGTGTGTGCACAGCTGGTGTGGGCAGTAATTAGGGTGGCTGGTGTCTAAATGACTAGTAGTGTAGATGGCATGTTTGGGTGTGTGGGCCATGAAAACATGGGTAAGATGTGGGTATGGGGGCTAAAAGCTATGGGAGAATGGTGAGTGAAAGCACGAGTAAGGTGTGAGGCCATGTGGGCTTAAAGCTGTGGGGGAATGGTGAGTGAAAGCACGAGTAAGGTGTGGGGCTGTGTGGGTTCGAAGCCGTGGGGAAGTGGTGTGGGTGAAATGTGTGCTTGTCAGTGGCCTGGTGTGGGTGGTGATTGGATGATGGGTGACTAGGTAGGCGATTATGCAGCTGGTGGTAACGCGCGTGGTGGGTAGTTACCCACCATCCTCATTACCACCAGCTATGTGGTTAGGTATGTAGACAGTATGTTAGGGTAAAAGGTCAGGTAGTGTGTGGGTGAGGTCATAGGTAATATGTGACCTTAAGGGAATGGTGGTTGTGAGGGAATGGTGGCTGTGGATGAATGGTATTGATGTGAGTGTGTGGCCATGGGGGGGGAAGAATGTATGGGTGGATTGTGTGGGCGAAGGCATGTGGCTGTGTGGGAGTTGTGTGGGTGGAGGTTGCTGGTTGGAATGATATGATTGAAGGTGTGTGGCAGTGGGGGAATTATATGGGCAGGAGAGGCCGGATCGAGTTAGAGGCATGGTATAGGTGAAGGTATGTGGCCATGGAGGATTTATAGGAGCAGGTGGTATGGGAGGGTAGTGGACAGGGAGGCTGCTGCTGGGTGTACAGTAAGGAAATGGCCACAAGGGAGAGAGGTGAATGAACAGTTGATGCAGGCGGGGTGTGGCTAAAGTGGCACTGGATGCATATCGTATCTGTATCTAACACTCAAACATTGTGCCTCAGCTCTCCTTTGTGTGTGATAACCTCCTCCCATTTTGTCACATACCAACTGTTGATTTTAATATATTAAAATATATTACAATCACCACCACGACCACTACCACCTCCACCACCCAGACCACCACCACCACCCAGACCACCACCACGGCCTCCATCACCACGACTTCCCACTGGAACCACCAATACCTCCCATTGCCACTACCATGACCTTCCATTGCTACCACCACCACAACCTCCCACTGCCAACACCACCACGACCTCCCACCACCACAACCTCCCATTGCCACCACCACTACAACTTCCCATCACCACAACCTCCCATTGCCACCACCACAACCTCCCACTGCCACCATGACCTCCCACTACCACCACCAACCACCACCATCACCTCCCACTGCTACCACTACTACTACTACAGGTCTGCCATCACAAATCCGGCAATCAGACATCCAGTTCCATCACTTAATCGGCACTAATTTCGGCTAGCACAATTCAAATTTCCAGGGTTGCCACACCAACCTGCTGGTACAGGTCCACCATCACAAATCCGGCAATCAGTTATTCGGCACTAGTTTTGGCTAGCATAATTTCAAATTTCCAGGGTCACCACACCAACCTGCTGGTACTGTTTGGTGGCGCTACTTGCTGCATAAGTCATTCCAATTTCTTTTTCTCCATTTATTGTTTTAACCTGCTTACTTTTAGCCCTAGCCATGGTTCCAATGAATAAAAGAAATGCTTCTCATTATGTAAAGCACCTACACAGTACATTATCCATTAAACGCCGGGTCACCATCTGGAGAAGACCCGGGCCGGAATTACCGGCAAATCTCTAATGAATGAATGAATGAATCCATTAAAGATAAGGTGGTTTTGAAGCCACTGTCGGTTGCCATGAGCTCAGTATCGTGATGCAGGAGAATATGCTTTATTATTACGCTAATATCAACACTACAGCTTATTTGCCTATCACAATTGATCTAATATGACATAATAAACAATATAAATAACATAAAACATGTTAAATACTCCAGAATAAATAATATTTGGCATAACACTGAGCAACTCGACGGAGGTATGAAGAGGATATGGTATACAAATACCATTATTGTACAAGTGAGCAGCCCATGTCCTTTCGCATGCTATTTCATTACTTTTTAACAAGTCACTAGAAACTAGCACCTTCCCGAAACTACTCAAGACAGCAAGGGTTACACCAATACATAAAGGTGGTGACCCTACAGATGTAAACAACTATAGGCCAATATCAAACTTACCATTGCTATCCAAAATCTTTGAGAAACTCGTGCACAGGAGACTGTATTCATTTATAACGTCACAAAACATACTCAACTCCTGCCAGTTTGGATTCAGGAAAAATAAAAGCACTAATGATGCAATTGTAAAAATGCTAGATCTGCTTTACTCAGCATTGGAAAATAAGCAATATCCGCTAGGAATTTTTATTGACCTAAGAAAAGATTTTGACACAGTAAACCACAGCATCCTACTCCACAAACTTGACCATTATGGTATAAGAGGCCATGCGCTTGCATATTTCAAATCCTACCTAACTAACAGGTATCAGTATGTCACCATTAAAGACACAGCATCATCAACACAGCCACTTGATACTGGAGTTCCACAGGGAAGTGTCCTTGGACCCCTGCTCTTCCTCATTTACATCAATGATCTTCCAAACGTATCCCAACACCTGAAACCCATTCTCTTTGCTGACGACACGACTTATGTCATCTCTCACCCTAATCTTGCCACCCTCAACACCATTGTTAATGAGGAGCTGCTCAAAATATCAACTTGGATGACAGCCAATAATCTTACACTTAACACTGACAAAACCTACTACATTATGTTTGGTAGCAGAGCAGGTGCTGCACAACTTAACATTAAGATCGACAGCACTCTAATTACCAGACATAATGAGGGCAAATTTCTAGGCCTATACCTCGACAACAACCTGAATTTCAGCACCCATATCCAACACACATCAAAAAAAGTATCCAAAACAGTTGGGATCCTCTCCAAGATATGATACTACATGCTGCAAAATGCCCTTCTCACACTATACCATTCACTCATTTATCCATACCTCACCTACACTATTTGTGCTTGGGAATCAACTGCAGCAATACACCTAAAGCCAATAATAACTCGACAAAAAGCTGAAATAAGAATAATCACTAATTTCCATCCCTGGCAACACCCCCCCCCTCCCACTCTTCATAGATCTAAACTTACTCCCTGTTCAGAACATCCACACTTACTACTGTGCAATCTACATATACAGGACCTTAACCCTTTGACTGTCGAAGGGCCCAATCCTGAAGTGTCTCCTGGTGTCGCAAAATATTCGAAAAAAAAAAATTATTTTTTCTTATGAAAATGTTAAGATTATTTTTCTGATTGTTTTAGTCCCAAAAAAAAAATTTTTCCCATCAGTACTTACCGAGATATAGAGTCCTGAAGTTTGCTGAAATTGATCTGCGAGCGGCAACAGCGGCGACTGCAGGTCACCCGGTAAACTTTGATTTACTTGTATTCGATGGTTTCTTGTTTTTTTTCACTATTTTATTTTTTCACATAACTTTTGTGGCCTGTGAGACCAAATTATTGTGCAATGTTTAAATATACACTCGTTGAATGTAACACAATTATAGCAAAAACACTCGTATCATTATAATGTTGCTAAAACTTGTTTACACAAACAAACAATGTAAACAAATGTTTATTATGATTGTTTTATAATATATATACATATGTACAATCACTGGACACTTTTCTAGAAGTGCTGCAGCTTGTGGAATTCTTTGAAACATGGGTATAAGCACAATGGTGTCTTACACTCCTCACACATAAAACGAGTGTCTCTGCGTTTTTGTGGGCATTTTGTGCCCTCTAATACCACTCCTTTCATCCAGCCCATGGACCAGCAGGTCATTTCAAACTTCAAAAAGCTGTACACCAAAGCAATGTTTCAAAGGTGCTTTGAAGCGATCTTGGACACTGAAATGACCCTAAGAGAGTTCTAGAGGAATGACTTCAATATCCTCAGTTGCATAACCCTTATAGATAAGGCTTGTGGCAGGGAGTAACTTCTCTACTTGGAGAAAACTGTGGCCAGAATGTACCCAAGAGAAGGATTTCGAAGGGTTAGAGGATGACCCTGATGACCCTACGCCTGTTCTGGAATCTATTGTGGCTTTGGGTAAGTCCATGGGGTTGGATGTGAGTGGTGAGGATGTGGAAGAGTTGGTGGAGGACAACAGAGAAGAGCTAACCACTGAGGAGCTGCAAGACCTTAA